TAAAGAAGAAATATTTTTGTCCAAAGTTTTTTGCAATAGCATTTTTTATAACTTTTGTGCTCGCTTTAGTGCCATACATAATTTTTCTTAAATGGTCTGTATTGTAGAAATTTAACAAAAAGTACAATATTTGAATTTTTTAAAATGAACCGTATTCCAGATATTTTTGGAAAACTGCAAATTTCGAATTTCAGTTTAAAAAAGGAAAAGAAAAAAAACACCAAATATAAAAAAATGTGTGGAAAATGTATGTATTTAGTTCATCCTCTAAACATTAGATTATACAAAATAACTGGAAAAAGCCTGTAATAACTAGATAGGAAAGTCATGTGTTGGATACATCAGATTTTTATAGAGAATTGCCAAAGAATACCTGAGAATTCCTGGGAATACCTAAGAATTCCTAAGAATGCCTGAGAATTCCCAAGAATACCTGGGAATTCCTGAGAATACCTGGGAATTCCCAAACAGATGTACACAAGAATTCCCAATGTATTTACCCCTCGCATTATTTTAAGTTTATTTTGGAATTTTAAGTGTTTGCAAGTTTGGCTTTAGTTTTTTTAATCAGATTTTTTCAAAATCAATATGCTTTATCCCCTTATAGATTTTAAGATAACAATTTCAAGATATCATTTTTCATTTTTGAGTTATCATGCTGACAAAAAACATAACATCAGGATGACGATTAAAGTAAACCTATAATACTCTTCACAGACTACTGTGTGAAGAGTATAATAATATCGGTCTCAGGACTGCTCCCTGTGGAACTATTCTTTCTGTAACAATATCACTATGGTCATTCTTTATTTTTACTACTAGTTTTTTTTTTTCATTTAAATAATTTTCAAAAGCTCTTATCACTGTTCCTCTTATTCCATATCTTTCAAGAACATGAAAAGTTATTTGTGGGAAACAACGTCAAATGTCTTTGCAAGTTCGATAAAGACACTTGTATTCTTATTATTATCTAAGCTACTTTTTATACTTGATATTAGTTGAAATAGCCCAGGCAACACACTTAGGTATAAATTACGTATTTTTTAGCTATTACCATTACATATGAATACGGTTGATGTACTACCCAATATATTCGTGAAAATGTCCGCCCAATAAACGTATATTATTTGTCACATGTAAACATCGATTACTACTAATTTATTCACCTATAATTTTTTTCATTTTATTTATTTATTCAAATAGGTACACTACAGAATTATTATTCTAAATGGTACACAGCGTTAAAAAAAAATTAACAATGAATACATGTATGTAGAATATCTACACAAAAATATCACATTCACAAAATCACATACATAGAAATAGGTTTAAATATTAAAGCTAAAAAAAAAAAAAAATATTTTGAAAGTTTCAAATTACTCTTTAGCGCACACAACGTTGTGTTAAATAGGTCACAGTCGGAGTAAAGCTGATTGTAAATGTGGCACATACGGTCTTTGTCCATAGTTGGTTCTATAGGCGAGTTCGGATAGTCAGGGCTGGAGCGGGACAAATTTTAGGGTGCTTTTAAATGACATTTAAGCGTGTTAAACCGTCACTAATCGGACTAAACCGAATGCTAAAAGGGTCGTTTGGAGTTAAAAGTGTTAAAGGAGTTAAAGGAACTTGGCAGACCGAACGCACATTATGTCTTCTGATGAAAAACAATGAAGTATGACGTGTACGTCGAGTAGGTGCCAAAAATCTAATTAATTGAAAAAAGGGCGCTACAGTCAATCTTACCATTAATTAATTTAAACAGAAACAAAACTAGTGCATGCCTTCTTTTGATTTATAGGCTTTGCATACCACATAAAAGCAGTCTACTTTCCCAACGTTTTGGTAGGGAAAGTGGTGTTTAAACAGCAAATAGTGAATTTACGCTGTTCTGTCCTCTCTATGTGGCAGGTGTAATTAGGATGCCATATGACAGAGCAATATTCAAGAATGCTTCTAACAAGGCTGTTAAATAATGTCAAGATTGTTTTCTATCTATCTGAATTAGGGCGTGGTTCAAAGCCCACTTGTATTGAATCTCTAGGCTTATTGTACCCCTCACAGTTTCTATCCCATCAGATTGATTTTCTTGATGAATTCAAGAATATGTCTGATGGGCGCTTTCGCGATTTCTTCAGGTTCCGGATATTGTACCCCGAAGTACCATTCCCGTTCCCATTTGAGGTTCCGACAGTGGCATAGTATGTGAATAGGAGTTTCGTCCTCCTCTTCACATATTCTACATAGGGAGTCATCAGATATCCTCAAGAGATTTAGGTGTCTTCTAAGGCCGCATTGTCCCGTAAGGACTCCTATTACGGCCTTGAGTTCGCTTCTGCTAAGGTTTAGTAGTTGATGTTGTCTGCTTGTGGATGGCCACTCTATGAATCTTTTGGACTGTCTAAGTCCAGGAAGTTCCATCCAGAGCCTATGGTGTTCTCTTTTTATTTGTTCCTTTAACACCCATTTAACAAGATTGCTTTAGTATCTGTAAAGCTTTCCAGATGCTAGGCTTTATTAAAAGAAATACTCAACATATGTATGATTCCTTTAGTATCATACATATGTTGAGTATTTCTTTTAATAAAGCCTAGCATCTGGAAAGCTTTACAGATAATGGAATCAAAATGTTCTCGAAAGGCCAGTTCCATATCAAATATCACCCCTAGATCATTCACAGAGGTGACATTTTGCAGTACAGTATTACCGATTTTGTATGGATTTAGAGAAGGGGTTAACGCTCTAGTGAACTGGATGGTCTTGCATTTACTGGTATTTATAATAAGAGATGGTTCACCTTGCACCACTTGTTTAGTCTCTCTAGATCACCTCGAAGGGCAGTAGTGTATGTGTGACTGTGCTGAAAAATTTCAAGTCATCTGCATATAGAAGACAAGTACTATTTAAAAAGCAGGAAGTTACGTCGTTAATAAAAAGTGAGAACAGGACAGGACCAAAGTGTGAGCCTTGCGGAACGCCTGATGAAACTGATACTTTCCGTGATGTAAAATTATGAATAGAAACTTGTTGGAAGCAATTAGATAAGATTTTATCCAATTGAGATAGTTACCAGCAATACCTATTTCGGAGAGTTTTTTTAAAAGCAGTTGATGAGAAACACTATTAAAAGCCTTCGACAGATTGGTGTAAATTGCATCCACCTGGTGCCCAGCTTCCACAGAGGTTAATAGATAGTCCTGCAAACAACAAATGAAACTTACCAAAAATAACCACTGTAACGATACAATTTTTTAATTGTTGCTTTTCACGGCCTGACCGGTTAAATTTAATGGCAACTGGGTTCCTCAGAAGGTATTTCATAATGTCTATGATAGGTACAATTCCTAACATTTACTCTGCTGATGCAGGCAAGGCGTATTTTCTGCACAAAGGAATTATTATAATCACAGCCAGGACTATTTTCGACATTCTTAGAAATAAAATCTTCTGACGAATAAAATATGGAAAACGAATGTGGTTGGAATAAATAGATGGCCTAAAAATTCTTATAAAAATAAGAGAATCAAAAGTTAGAATTTCTGTGAGCATCTTACATCACTCCTACCTACAAAACAGCAGTTGTAAAATGCAGGAGTTATTTAAGGAATAATTAATTTCTTTGAACACGTGTACACAAATGAGTGTGGTAGAATGACCTACACAACAATGTCACAGCAAAAACACGCCCAAACGCTAGAGTAGAAATGAGAAAAGATCGTAGCCTGAGTATGCCATGTTTCATCCTCCTTATCAATTAGTTCCGTGTGTATGGGGAATTTGTTATAACTGTTACAGGTGATATAATAAAAAAAATATGAATATAATATAAACAAATATACCAATAAGCTTTTAATATAAATAAACCTAAATGTATACATATTATTTACTTCTGTCTACTAGTTTATCGCCAACGGGAAATATACGTGTAAGGTAAATTATATTTAAACGTATAATATACAATAACTAGTATCTATAAACGTTTAATTTATCCGTTAAAAATTGTCAAGTATAAAAACGTTTAAGAAATCATCCAAGACGAAATTTAAACGGAAGTTATTAACGAAAAATACATATTATAATATTACATACATTTATACGAATTTATTTAAACAAACCTAAACGTATATTTGGGCACAATGTCTGCAAATCGTTTATCGCAAACTAAAAATAGTCGTATATTGTTAACTATATTTAAACGCAGAATAATTATGTATACCATATATAGGATGTATAAAAAAACGGATAATATATCATTTAAAAAACAGTATGTACTATAATAATCGTAAACTGTAAATGTATACGGAATCAACCAATACCAAATATAAACGAGAATTACGTATAAAATACGTTAATTGTACCAATGTGTGCTGCCTGGGAGGCTTCTTAAGGAAATTATTCTTGTTAAAAAAAAATAACTTTATTTTACTTTCTTATTTATTTTGCTTTCTGTCGTCTCATTTATCATCGATCGTTTTCTCATTTCAGCTGACAAATCGTTTGCATGTAGAAATTTTGTTGTTTAAACAACAAAAAAAAAAAACAATAGAATTGATCTCTATCAGCTCTGCTCCCACGATTTACAACTATGAATGTTAAAGTGTTTGGTTTGGTTGAACATACCTCATAAATGTATTAATCACAAATCAACATACTTATTAAATTACTCAGATTACTCAATTTTTAAACAGAACCCAAGAAAAAGTGTTTCGCACTAACATTCAGAAATTTGCAAAGATTATGACATGACAAGTCAAATACTAATGTAAATAAACTTTCTGTATCAATAGTCGGCCATTAAAAGTGCGTCAATGTTACTCGTTACTTTCTTTTCATTGTATCATGCAGAGTTACTGTATATCGTTTACGAAAAACACAAAAGTTGTACGTCAGTTTTGTTTTGTTACCAAAAAATTACATCATATCAGTCTTATATTTATATAAGAGAACGAATAATTTATAGGATTGAAGTACATGCCTTAAATTTGCGAATTTTCATATTTTAGAACACCAAAGAAAGCTTGGAATACGCTTTAAAATTGTGGAAAGAATTACAAGAGGTTGGTCACTTTCCAATGAGGAGGGCAACTACTTTTTGCGCAGGGCTGGCTTATAACCAAGGGAACCCTGGTATAGCTTTAGAAATCCTAACATCGGCAAAAAATCAAAACTATACCACAGTCAGGAATTTAAAGGTAAGTTTAGTTAATGACTTTTAGATACTTAAAACGAAATGAAATAATTGGTTAGTTTGGAGAATTAAAATCTTAATAAAATAGACAATTTGTAATGGTTTTTTTACTAATGATTTTCATAAAGCAATTAAAAATTCTAGAAGACACGAATTGTAACTTTAGAAACATTTTTTGTAGAATCATAATTTTTTTTTGTTTTTTTCTTGTTTTTTTTTTAATTTCTGTTTTATTTTCATCTTTTTTAATATTGTATATTTTCTTATGAATATAGTTATATTTATTATTTATTTAGTAAAACTACATAATTATTTTAATAAATTAATAAAACTAATCAAGTACTCTTATTTTTATTAGGTTGCTTCTTTAGCAGCTCTCGGTAGCGTAGAAAATGCCATTCCCATTTTGAAAGGTGTATTTTCCGAAGATATGCCTGGAGCTCAAAAACACACATTCAATAAAGAAGTTATAGATAAAGTGCGGGACGCAATTGCAGCCCTTAATCATCCGGAATTGGCTTCAGAATTCGAAAAAATTGAAAAATCTCTTCGGAATCAGGGACAGATTATAAACACAGTGAGTGAAATATTTTTTTCTTTAATCAAGAAGATTTAAAATAATTTCTTATTAAATTATATTAATTTAAATCGAATTATAAGTAATTAATTAAATCTAATTAAATCAAATTAAATCCAATTAAATCTAATTAAATCTAATTAAATCTAATTAAATCTAATTAAATCTAATTAAATCTAATTAAATCTAATTAAATCTAATTAAATCTAATTAAATCTAATTAAATCTAATTAAATCTAATTAAATCTAATTAAATCTAATTAAATCTAATTAAATCTAATTAAATCTAATTAAATCTAATTAAATCTAATTAAATCTAATTAAATCTAATTAAATCTAATTAAATCTAATTAAATCTAATTAAATCTAATTAAATCTAATTAAATCTAATTAAATCTAATTAAATCTAATTAAATCTAATTAAATCTAATTAAATCTAATTAAATCTAATTAAATCTAATTAAATCTAATTAAATCTAATTAAATCTAATTAAATCTAAATTAAATCTAATTAAATCTAATTAAATCTAATTAAATCTAATTAAATCTAATTAAATCTAATTAAATCTAATTAAATCTAATTAAATCTAATTAAATCTAATTAAATCTAATTAAATCTAATTAAATCTAATTAAATCTAATTAAATCTAATTAAAATCTAATTAATCTAATTAAATCTAATTAAATCTAATTAAATCTAATTAAATCTAATTAATTAAATCTAATTAAATCTAATTAAATCTAATTAAATCTAATTAAATCTAATTAAATCTAATTAAATCTAATTAAATCTAATTAAATCTAATTAAATCTAATTAAATCTAATTAAATCTAATTAAATCTAATTAAATCTAATTAAATCTAATTAAATCTAATTAAATCTAATTAAATCTAATTAAATCTAATTAAATCTAATTAAATCTAATTAAATCTAATTAAATCTAATTAAATCTAATTAAATCTAATTAAATCTAATTAAATCTAATTAAATCTAATTAAATCTAATTAAATCTAATTAAATCTAATTAAATCTAATTAAATCTAATTAAATCTAATTAAATCTAATTAAATCTAATTAAATCTAATTAAATCTAATTAAATCTAATTAAATCTAATTAAATCTAATTAAATCTAATTAAATCTAATTAAATCTAATTAAATCTAATTAAATCTAATTAAATCTAATTAAATCTAATTAAATCTAATTAAATCTAATTAAATCTAATTAAATCTAATTAAATCTAATTAAATCTAATTAAATCTAATTAAATCTAATTAAATCTAATTAAATCTAATTAAATCTAATTAAATCTAATTAAATCTAATTAAATCTAATTAAATCTAATTAAATCTAATTAAATCTAATTAAATCTAATTAAATCTAATTAAATCTAATTAAATCTAATTAAATCTAATTAAATCTAATTAAATCTAATTAAATCTAATTAAATCTAATTAAATCTAATTAAATCTAATTAAATCTAATTAAATCTATTAAATCTAATTAAATCTAATTAAATCTAATTAAATCTAATTAAATCTAATTAAATCTAATTAAATCTAATTAAATCTAATTAAATCTAATTAAATCTAATTAAATCTAATTAAATCTAATTAAATCTAATTAAATCTAATTAAATCTAATTAAATCTAATTAAATCTAATTAAATCTAATTAAATCTAATTAAATCTAATTAAATCTAATTAAATCTAATTAAATCTAATTAAATCTAATTAAATCTAATTAAATCTAATTAAATCTAATTAAATCTAATTAAATCTAATTAAATCTAATTAAATCTAATTAAATCTAATTAAATCTAATTAAATCTAATTAAATCTAATTAAATCTAATTAATTAAATCTAATTAAATCTAATTAAATCTAATTAATCTAATTAAATCTAATTAAATCTAATTAAATCTAATTAAATCTAATTAAATCTAATTAAATCTAATTAAATCTAATTAAATCTAATTAAATCTAATTAAATCTAATTAAATCTAATTAAATCTAATTAAATCTAATTAAATCTAATTAAATCTAATTAAATCTAATTAAATCTAATTAAATCTAATTAAATCTAATTAAATCTAATTAAATCTAATTAAATCTAATTAAATCTAATTAAATCTAATTAAATCTAATTAAATCTAATTAAAATCTAATTAAATCTAATTAAATCTAATTAAATCTAATTAAATCTAATTAAATCTAATTAAATCTAATTAAATCTAATTAAATCTAATTAAATCTAATTAAATCTAATTAAATCTAATTAAATCTAATTAAATCTAATTAAATCTAATTAAATCTAATTAAATCTAATTAAATCTAATTAAATCTAATTAAATCTAATTATAATCTAATTAAATCTAATTAAATCTAATTAAATCTAATTAAATCTAATTAAATCTAATTAAATCTAATTAAATCTAATTAAATCTAATTAAATCTAATTAAATCTAATTAAATCTAATTAAATCTAATTAAATCTAATTAAATCTAATTAAATCTAATTAAATCTAATTAAATCTAATTAAATCTAATTAAATCTAATTAAATCTAATTAAATCTAATTAAATCTAATTAAATCTAATTAAATCTAATTAAATCTAATTAAATCTAATTAAATCTAATTAAATCTAATTAAATCTAATTAAATCTAATTAAATCTAATTAAATCTAATTAAATCTAATTAAATCTAATTAAATCTAATTAATCTAATTAAATCTAATTAAATCTAATTAAATCTAATTAAATCTAATTAAATCTAATTAAATCTAATTAAATCTAATTAAATCTAATTAAATCTAATTAAATCTAATTAAATCTAATTAAATCTAATTAAATCTAATTAAATCTAATTAATCTAATTAAATCTAATTAAATCTAAATTAAATCTAATTAAATCTAATTAAATCTAATTAAATCTAATTAAATCTAATTAAATCTAATTAAATCTAATTAAATCTAATTAAATCTAATTAAATCTAATTAAATCTAATTAAATCTAATTAAATCTAATTAAATCTAATTAAATCTAATTAAATCTAATTAAATCTAATTAAATCTAATTAAATCTAATTAAATCTAATTAAATCTAATTAAATCTAATTAAATCTAATTAAATCTAATTAAATCTAATTAAATCTAATTAAATCTAATTAAATCTAATTAAATCTAATTAAATCTAATTAAATCTAATTAAATCTAATTAAATCAATAAATCTAATTAAATCTAATTAAATCTAATTAAATCTAATTAAATCTAATTAAATCTAATTAAATCTAATTAAATCTAATTAAATCTAATTAAATCTAATTAAATCTTAATTAAATCTAATTAAATCTAATTAAATCTAATTAAATCTAATTAAATCTAATTAAATCTAATTAAATCTAATTAAATCTAATTAAATCTAATTAAATCTAATTAAATCTAATTAAATCTAATTAAATCTAATTAAATCTAATTAAATCTAATTAAATCTAATTAAATCTAATTAAATCTAATTAAATCTAATTAAATCTAATTAAATCTAATTAAATCTAATTAAATCTATTAAATCTAATTAAATCTAATTAAATCTAATTAAATCTAATAAAAATTATTAAATCTAATTAAATCTAATGAAATCTAATTAAATCTAATTAAATATAATTAAATCTAATTAAATCTAATTAAATCTAATTAAATCTAATTAAATCTAATTAAATCTAATTAAATCTAATTAAATCTAATTAAATATAATTAAATCTAATTAAATCTAATTAAATCCAATTAAATCCAATTAAATCTAATTAAATCTAATTAAATCTAATTAAATCTAATTAAATCTAATTAAATCTAATTAAATCTAATTAAATCTAATTAAATCTAATTAAATCTAATTAAATCTAATTAAATCTAATTAAATCTAATTAAATCTAATTAAATCTAATTAAATCTAATTAAATCTAATTAAATCTAATTAAATCTAATTAAATCTAATTAAATCTAATTAAATCTAATTAAATCTAATTAAATCTAATTAAATCTAATTAATTCTAATTAAATCTAATTAAATCTAATTAAATCTAATTAATCTAATTAAATCTAATTAAATTAATTAATCTAATTAAATCTAATTAAATCTAATTAAATCTAATTAAATCTAATTAAATCTAATTAAATCTAATTAAATCTAATTAAATCTAATTAAATCTAATTAAATCTAATTAAATCTAATTAAATCTAATTAAATCTAATTAAATCTAATTAAATCTAATTAAATCTAATTAATCTAATTAAATCTAATTAAATCTAATTAAATCTAATTAAATCTAATTAAATCTAATTAAATCTAATTAATCTAATTAAATCTAATTAAATCTAATTAAATCTAATTAAATCTAATTAAATCTAATTAAATCTAATTAAATCTAATTAAATCTAATTAAATCTAATTAAATCTAATTAAATCTAATTAAATCTAATTAAATCTAATTAAATCTAATTAAATCTAATTAAATCTAATTAAATCTAATTAAATCTAATTAAATCTAATTAAATCTAATTAAATCTAATTAATCTAATTAAATCTAATTAAATCTAATTAAATCTAATTAAATCTAATTAAATCTAATTAAATCTAATTAAATCTAATTAAATCTAATTAAATTTAATTAAATCTAATTAAATCTAATTAAATCTAATTAAATCTAATTAAATCTAATTAAATCTAATTAAATCTAATTAAATCTAATTAAATCTAATTAAATCTAATTAAATCTAATTAAATCTAATTAAATCTAATTAAATCTAATTAAATCTAATTAAATCTAATTAAATCTAATTAAATCTAATTAATCTAATTAAATCTAATTAAATCTAATTAAATCTAATTAAATCTAATTAAATCTAATTAAATCTAATTAAATCTAATTAAATCTAATTAAATCTAATTAAATCTAATTAAATCTAATTAAATCTAATTAAATCTAATTAAATCTAATTAAATCTAATTAAATCTAATTAAATCTAATTAAATCTAATTAAATCTAATTAAATCTAATTAAATCTAATTAAATCTAATTAAATCTAATTAAATCTAATTAAATCTAATTAAATCTAATTAAATCTAATTAAATCTAATTAAATCTAATTAAATCTAATTAAATCTAATTAATTAAATCTAATTAAATCTAATTAAATCTAATTAAATCCAATTAAATCCAATTAAATCCAATTAAATCTAATTAAATCCAATTAAATCCAATTAAATCTAATTAAATCTAATTGAATTAAATCTAATTAAATCTAAATCTTATTGAATCTAATTGAATCTAATTGAATCTAATTGAATCTAATTGAATCTAATTGAATCTAATTGAATCTAATTGAATCTAATTGAATCTAATTGAATCTAATTGAATCTAATTGAATCTAATTGAATCTAATTGAATCTAATTGAATCTAATTGAATCTAATTGAATCTAATTGAATCTAATTGAATCTAATTGAATCTAATTGAATCTAATTGAATCTAATTGAATCTAATTGAATCTAATTGAATCTAATTGAATCTAATTGAATCTAATTGAATCTAATTGAATCTAATTGAATCTAATTGAATCTAATTGAATCTAATTGAATCTAATTGAATCTAATTGAATCTAATTGAATCTAATTGAATCTAATTGAATCTAATTGAATCTAATTGAATCTAATTGAATCTAATTGAATCTAATTGAATCTAATTGAATCTAATGAATCTAATTGAATCTAATTGAATCTAATTGAATCTAATTGAATCTAATTGAATCTAATTGAATCTAATTGAATCTAATTGAATCTAATTGAATCTAATTGAATCTAATTGAATCTAATTGAATCTAATTGAATCTAATTGAATCTAATTGAATCTAATAATTATTTTAGAACATGGATGAACAGTTATGTCAAGAAATACAAGCACCTGTAACATATCAAAATAACAGAAGAAATCAGGATTCTCGGTATGAACAAACGTACCCGAGATCTAGGAAAACATATACAAATAAGAGATATGTATCACAGCGTCCTGGTTTAGATGAATTAGTGTGAGGTTGTTAAGTTGATTAATTAGTTGTTTTTAATAAACAGATAATACATACCTACTTTTGTTTTTTTTAATAAATAATATTAAGATTTTTACAGGTTAGAAAAAAATTCGGAACATCTATGACTGTGACAGAGAAAGCATTGGGATAATTACATGAAGCATTTTGTTGGATTTTGGGTAGTAAAAGTCTTCTAGTGCGAAATATGTGGACTGTTATTATTTAATGTAATAACAAAAAATCTTTTCTTATGTTTGGACTTACCTTAGGTGTCTCTTGGGCTCCTACAACCTTATAATTTTTTTTCCGCCTTTTTTAAAATACCTCCTATACCTACTCGCGCCCTTCTGTTATCCTGAGACAAAATTTGCCATTAAAATTGTAATAAAAGGCAACTTTTTAAAAAACTTCTGGCCTTTTCTAAAATACATCCATACCCCTCTTCTGTTATTCTGATTCAAAATCTGCCATTAAAATTGTCTTAAAATGCAACTTTTTTTTTTTTCGTTAAATCGTATTCAACGGGAAGAATGAAAAATGGGGACGTCTTAGATAAGCAATTAGTTCGTAAAACTTAAAATAATGATCAGTAACAATGCCAAAAACACTTCTACTTAATATAATAAAACGAGGTCAAATCCAACAAATGGTCCTTCGAAACCACAAAATCGAAATTTAGTGTCAATTATAAAGTTCTATTAAAAATCGAGAAATTCAATGACTCGATAAGTGCAACTATTCTATTCTTTTCGTGTACGTAATTTAAGTTCAGTTTCGAGAGTGTTGGAATTGTCTCTAACCGCCGTCCCAAAGTTCGCTTGATTATAATTCCATTGCGGTTCCTGTCTTTTATAAAAACGTAAAATAGTTCTTCGTTCCAGTCTACAAAAAAAGTGAGTTTTTTGCGATTCTTATACGTAAGTACTTTTAATTTATTTATATTGATTTTTATTGCGAATTATCTTGTTTCAGCTGATTAGCTTTGATAATTGAAAATGCTTGTACATTAGTTAAAAATGGGTATATTTCGGGGTTTCTTTAGTTTTGTTAATTATTCAACTAATTTTATTGACAATGTCTTTGAATATAGCACAAAATTAATTAACTGCATTTTTACTTTCCTATCTGTATACAGATATAAGGAAAGTATAGGAATCATGATTTTTTTCGACCTCGAGTTTTCGACGGATTTTTACGTTTTGAGGTCCCCTGAATCCGTTTTGACTATTTTCGCGATGATGTCGTGTGTGTGTGTGTGTGTGTGTGTGTGTGTGCCACT